AATCAGTCACTATTGCTACCTTGAAATGTTGTCATACCTATAAATTCATAAATTCTGTTTCTTAACTTATCTGATAGTCAGTCAGTTTTGGTGTTATGCTACTGCCTATTATCTCTCTCACTCTTGTGCGTCAGTAGCACAGAGGTAAACTGCTCGTCAATCACGTAGGGTGGTTCGAGATTCGATCCCAGGCCACCGACACACTCCCAAACCCCTCTAAGGCAGTAATAAGACTGGTCAAGAAGGAAGGTTGGGTATGAGGCTAGTAACCGTAAACCGTAAAAGCAAACACCTCTGCTACCGAAACTTTAAAGCTTTAGCTTGAAGCCCAATGCTACCCTGGGCACTCAAAGGAACAAAAAGAAATCTCTCTCTTTTTTACTGACACTTTTGAACTATAATCAATGAATGTTATTCACTCAATGTTACTGAAAACTTTAATACTTTTTTTCTTATTCCTTTACGTTCCCAGTGGAACATAGGGCACCATGTTAGAGGCTTGAAGTTTCTGTAGCAGTGTTTATTTTTACGCGATGGGGTTGATAGCCTCATGCCTAACCTTCCCTCTTTACCAGCTTTTTTTTCATTACTGGCTTAGCGAGGTGAAGGAGTGCGTTGGTGGCCGGGGATCGAACCCCGGACCATGTGCATGGTCGGTGAGCGTCTTAACCGCTGTGCCACCGGCGCACCTTAATACTGTTAATTAAGAATAATTATGTATGGGTATATAACTGCAGAAATTGATAATGGAGATATTGGAAAGAATATGCTTTTTATCACTAATAAATCTATCGAAATTCAAAGTGGGAATTTGTTTTAATCAATTGAAATATAAAATGAAGCATAAGGTACGAACCAGTTAACAATATTACAAGGCTACTACACACACGATTTTATAGAGCTAAGACAATGGAGCATAACTACTATGTGAAGGCATGCGATACAACCTACTTGTCGGCCTAGACCTCAGGAGATTCAATGGTAGTTCTAGTCTACTATCTATGTAAGAATAGCGAATTTATCTGACTGACTGGTTTCAACAGAGAACTTTGCACAGATGTGCAGCAGTTCGAGCTGTCACACACCATTCAGCAAACAACTCAAGACAAGAAAGTAATGAGAGATTAAGAAGAGGGAGATAATAAACAGAAATATGAGGCAAAAAGAATAGTGATATGGAAGAACAGTCAATTTTTATTGGATATTATAAATCGCTCAATACTCAAGATCAGATGGCCAGAAAAGATCAGCAACAGGGATCTCTGGCAATGAGCGAACCGACCAGGAACCGATTATGCAACAAATAAGCAGGAAGAAATGGAGGTGGATTGGCCATACTCTGAGAAAACAATCCATCAAGTGACATCACACGACAGGCCATCACTCGAGTGGAACCCGAATGGGAAGTGGCGAGTTGGTTGCCAGTGCGAGGGTGACATGGAGGTCATGCCAAGAAGAGATAAAAGCATGTGTGCGGACGTGGAGCCAGATGAAAAGGTTGGCGGGGAACCGAACGCACTGGAGACGTGTAGCTGAAGCCCTATGTTCCTTTAGGAATTTAAGGAAATAATAATAATAAATCACAAAGGGTGAATGCATCTACGCGATTGACAACGGTTTCGAGCCATATCACCGATCGTCTCCAGTCACTGATTTTTAACATCCCGAGGACCCCAACAAAGAGGCCAGTATACACCACTCTACGTGATTGCCTTAAACTAACTATTGTGGATTTCATTGACTGATGCCATACTTCGATTTGACCGTTGCTAGGCATGCGTAACACATGTATCAATCATCTTACTCAATTAACGTATCTTCACAACTTCGTCGACAGATTTCCTCTCCAGCCTACTTAGCACTCTACGCCTAACCTCGATATTGCTCACCCTATTATATCATCAAACACGAGAGAATACAGACACCTATGATCGAAGACAGCTAACCAGCCTTTCATGTCTTCCACTCCAAATGGTCATATTTCACAGCCAGCTGCAAAAGGAGGACGGAGCGAACTGTTGAGCAGTTCACCCATCCTTTGGTCGACAGCCAGTCGGATATCATCAAGACAGAGATGGCATAAGCTGGCACATACGAAACGAGCCTTCTGTATTCGTGCTAAGATTTTGCCAGAGATCAACTCGTTGGGGCTAATGCAACTTCCAAAATAAATGAAGCGGTCAACACGCCCTACCACTTCACTTCCAATTTCTAAGCTAGGAGTGCGTCGATGTATTCCAGTCCTGTAGCATCATCTTACATTCGACGCGAGCGAATCACATACCAAATATTCGAAAATTACTGCTCAACAGAATTTTCCTACTGTTGCAAAATATATTTCCGCATTAAATAAGTTTATTTGATATAACTAACACGCAGTGACATACTGGATGACGTTTCAAGTACAATTTATTGCCAATCATAATCACAACAATGCATTCACACAGTTACATAATTCATAGTATACATATATTTTTTCTCTCTCCCATTTGTTATTTATTATAGATTTATATATATTCGTTAATGGTGTCGCGCAACTTCATTTGAACATGTTTAGTGTTGATTTAATGAACAGAGATTCAGTGACTAACCTCTCTGTCTCTCCACCTAACTAGATTACTTATTAATACTTTCACCCTGCCCCACCCTATTTTGTGATTACACTGTAACTGTTGAACATTTCTTCTAGATTACTTAACTAATCAGGGTCAACCATGCTAGATCTACCTAATTTCCGATGTTCTGATAATATCGTTCACCCCAATCTACTAGTTCAACCGATATCATTGACTTCACAGTCATTGCGGCATGGTATTTGGCAAATTACATTATTTTTATCAATTGAACCCATTGGGTTTTTAAGCCATTAACGTTTGTCTCAGAGTGAGTTAGTTAGTGGTTTAAATGCCACCCTAATACCAAGCTTGTCAAGAATTCTAAGTACACGGCCTTTCAAGTGTTGGTATGTAGGGATTTGATTGGTTACAGGATTTTCATCATGAGCTGACATTAGTTAGAGAACCATTGGAAAACCTGCAGGGAGTACTGGACAGCTGTTTCGCCCTAGTGTGGGACCCTCCAGCAGTACGCAACCACCACCAGGGTTCTAACCCAAAACCTTCTGGTTACAAGGCGAACTCGTAGACCATTATAAACCACTGGGAGCCGATACAATGGCCAGTGAATTCTTAATTTTTTTTATTTCATCATTTAATTTTTTTAGCTTACTAATTACTTTCTTGGCCTGATTGTAGAAACATTTAAGTAAACCTACTTTTACAGATTTTAGGTGGAATGAATTAAAGTCCAGGTATTTATTAGAATGTATCAGGAGGGAGTACAACTACATCAAAGTGAGCTACGCTGATATATGAATCAGTATGAGCAAAACAGTTGTGTTTAAAACGCCATTCAACAGTTATTAATCCTGTATCACTCACTCACTGCGTGTTATATGGATGAAAAAACTTATTCAGTATGGAATTGGTCTTCAGTTAAATTGGATAATCACCATTTTTTTCTTTTGCATCGCGAGTGGACAATACGGACTTCTGTAACGGTGATGTCCTCTTTTATGGGGTGGAATTTTTTTGCAAGCCTTTTGCTAACACCTTCCCTCGTTTTCGGGCTTAATATCATTTGGTAAAATAGGCTAGGTTTAAGAGTTCCATTATGGGTAAATTTTATTTTGATAAAGTCTCACAGTGTTATACAGTGATGCTTACTGATGACGTTTCCAGCACAATTTATTGCTGCTCATAATCAAATCAAGGTAATCACACGACTTCCTAAATTCATTTATATAGTTCCATTGTTTTTCGCTTGATTTTCACTTGATTTGATTGGTAGTAGTATCTTCCATATTTCGGGTGTGAGTGATGAATCATTCCTATTGCATGTGTTGGGTGTAGATTCGATGAAGTAGGCAGGATTCAGTAATCAACCTCTCTCTCCACCTACCTAGATTACGTTTTAGAATTTCAACCCTCTCCCACCCTATTGTGTGATTGCGTGTTAATGCAGGCAATGCAATTGCTGAGCTTTTTTCTAAATTACTTATCTTCTCTGGGTCAACCACTCCAACCTTAGCTAAATTCTTATATTCTGACAATCTGACTACCCCTGACCTACTAGTGTGACCTATGTAGTTGACCTCACAGTCATTGCAAAAGTATTTTGTAAATTAATTGATTTTGTCTAATTGGGTCAACTGGGTCCTTTAACCTACAGAGCTTGTCCCTGAGTGAGTTTGTAGGTTTGAATGCCACCCTAATTCCTGCTTTATTGCGAATCCTACGTAGTATCTCAGTTGTCCCCTCTTTGCAATGTCCCCTCAGCAATTGCAATGCATGCATTAACACACAACCACACAATAGGGTGGGAGAGGGTTAAAATTCTAAAAAGTAATCTAGGTAGGTGGAGAGAGAGGTTGATTACTGAATCCTGCCTACTTCATCGAATCTACACCCAACACATGCAATAGGAATGAATCATCACTCACACCCGAAATATGGAAGATACTACTACCAATCAAATCAAGTGAAAAACAATGGAACTATATAAATGAATTTAGGAAGTCGTGTGATTACCTTGATTTGATTATGAGCAATAAATTGTGCTGGAAACGTCATCAGTAAACATTACTGTATAGCACTGTGAGACTTTATCAAAACAAAATTTACCCATAATGGAATAACACTCTACCACAGTGCACAAGTTTTATTCTTATAGGTTTAAGAGCGTGTCATCGGCCAGGAAACACAACCAAACTACTTGTTCCTATTATTATTATTAAAACTCTAATTACTCATCGTTTCATAAACAGACAATCATCTTTTATAGTTATGTAATCATTAAAATATATAACTGATTACCCAGTGTGTGTATCGCAAAACCAAATGGTATACAAACAAACACCATAGTCACCCTCCCAATAATACTCTATTCTATAATTACTAGTAATAATGATAATAATAATAATAAGTATAAGTGTATCAATGCAGAAAGCAGTATACAAATACCGAGTTGTTTCTCAAAAGACAAAAACAAAATGAGCGGGTAAACCAATAAATTCACTGCAGATAGATAAATGATTAGGCTATTGAGAGAAAAAAGACAACACATCTGCGATTACTACTACATGAATGAAAGAAATAACAACTGAGAAAAACCGAAGCCAATGAACGAACAAACAAACAAACGGACGGACGGACGGACCAAAGAAAGAACACAGAAAGGATTTTCTTATAATTAATGATCAAAATATAAATAGATAGTGATATTATTGAAAACAGAGGAAAACAAAATTTATATATTGCACAATACTTTTCGCACACATACATAAACAGACGTAAGCATGCACGGATGCACTCAATTACATACACATGCACACACACACTGATAGAAATAAACATGTTGTTTATACCCAATAACACCATGACTATGTGAACATAATGTGAAGAATCTTTTGTTTGCATATTTTTCGTAAGTAATTATAGTAGTAGTAACAGTAGTATATTAGTAGTATACGTCAGGACAAGTAAAATAAAACAAAATGAGGTAAATAATGCTGTTCTTGTTGATGATGACGATGGTTGTTTCTCCGTTTGTTGTAAAAGGCAGCGTAATATATTTAAGTTCAAAAAAAAAATTATCACATTAGCAAGTTAAGTGACTTGTGATAGTGAAATTATTGATTATTTTTCAAGGACTAAGATATATATAAATAAATATTAACCAATGAAATTAAAATGACTAACAAGGACAGAAAGTAAGCGTAAGACAATTAGAATAATTAAACAAAAAAAGGAATTTATAAATATTGAACAATGGATTCATTCACATTCATATCCATTGTATTGTTGTGGTTTGTCTTTGATGATCAAATATTATTTCACAGCCTAAAAATTGAAATGAAAGTTTAGTTACACGTATACACATTTAAGTATGTACAGTTCGAAATTAAAGTTGGCGGGTATTCTTTTTTGTTGTTTGTTCAATGATCAATAATGTGAGTAGGAAACTACGATATGTAAACATTATTAATTAACTATGTATGAGCTACAGGTGATCCCATTAAATTAGCTGAAGTTGGACGAGTTGTACTACCAGAATTATTACTATTATTGTTAACAGTTGAATTACTATTGTTTGGAATAATTGAACGACGTGATTTTGATGTTTCTTTAAGTGTTTTATAATTATTCCATCTTTCATTAATATGTTCAGTAAATGTTTTACCATTAGACAGGAGAAAATTTGATGAACTTTTCACTTCATATTGTTCAATAGCTGATAAGGCTTCTTTTTCAGTACGTTCAATTTCTTTTAATAAACGTTTTTTCTCTTTTTCAGTTTTTAATAATATACCGCCACGATTTAAAAATATTGATGGATCTTTAAGACGTGCTTCTACATCAATTAATTGTTTCCAACAATTTTCATAGACAGCAATACATTCATATACAGGACGATATAATGAATAGGTTTGATTTAATTGTTCTAATACAGTCTCTAAGTGATTTACTAAAACTTCAGGATCACGTTTATCACAACCATTCGGTAATTGAACAATCTTTTCATCAACACAACAAAGATTAGCTAATCGAAGTGCTTCACTTTCTAAACGCGTTAAATAGGTTTGCATATTTTCCCATTTCAATTGTTGACACCGATCAACTTCCTCCTTCAAAAGATGAAAAACAGAAAGAAGATAATTCACGTATATTTCAATGATTCAGTAATTAAAAAAGAAGGGGAAAGAACAACAACAACAGCAATAAAAAAGAACTATTTCCGTTTATGATTACAACTCATTCAATAGTGGTTACGTTTAATGACTTTCAAGAACACAAAACTATGAAATCTCCTATTTGTGACAGACCACTTACAAGTGAGTTGTAAGCGAATGACAATCAAGTTCCATCCGATCTGTGTCTGTTGAATAAATCCAAAAAGGGGAGTGTTGAATGTGAGCTGGTGAAGGAAGGAAGTTTGTTAAAAGCAAAATGAAACCCAATAGCTTCTCAATAACTAATTTAACTGGTGGTGGAATCCAGCATGTGCATTTCATCCTATTCGGGACTCATCAGACGAGTGTATCTGTATTCCCCGGTGAATGATGGTGTTCCCACCGAGGCTCGAACCCAAGTGGTCTAGTGGATAACGCTTTGGCGTTTGAAACTATGGGCACTGGGTTCGAGCCTCGGTGGGAGCATTATCACTCACCGGCTGACGAGTCGCAAATAGGATGAAATGCGCATCCTAGATACCAATGCTAGTCGCCATCCACCAGTTAAATTCTAACTACATGCCCAGTTATCGTCGAAGCATCTGCACAAGAAGCCAAAATGTCAACCTGAGACCTAGCACGTCGACGGGAAAATCTAAAATTCAATTAAATAGTCTCAGCAACAACAACATGTGTTACGCATCCCTAGCCATTGCCTTCCTCGACTGACGGGCAATGATAGCTGACATAGGATGGGTCAGGTTGGAAAACAGCCAGTAGTGGTCAAACCAAAAAATAGCCTCATTAGTCAATGAAATCCACAACAGTCAGTTTCAGCCGGCCACGTAGAAAGGTGTAGACATCCTGGTTGGGGTCCTCAAGACGGTAATAACCAACGAAGGCTAAAGACAATTGGTGATGTGGCTCAAAGCCGTTCTCCATGATGGCCAGATGCAACCACTCCTTGTGACTTATAAAATCCAATAAAAATATATTCTTCTTTGATATTACTATTATTCTTGCCTCATGTCTCTGTTTACTGTCTCTGTTTTTCGTTTCTTTTTACTTTCTTCTCTTGCTATGTATGCTACATGGAGTGTGGCGACTCGAACTGACACACATAGATGCAAAGTTCTATGTTGAAACCAGTCAGTCAGTCAATCACTTATGATTGAAACATTTCTTAGATACACGACAAAATAATAGTGAAGGCAATGAAAATTGTAGGATATGAGAATGCTGTTGTCCAAACACATAACAAGGTAATTCTCATAAATTATACTTTAGAATTAACATTATCAATATAATCATGAAACTGTTTCAGTCAGAACATAATTAATCAAGCACATAAATCACAATAGTTGGTGAGAGCGAACACATCGAAGGCTTACCTGAAGTGCTTCTAAATCCTCAGGTTTATAACCAGAATGTGCATCAAGAAATTCTTTTTGTTCTGACTCGGGTTTATCTAGTCTCCTCCACATTTGTAATAGATAAGCTCTTAATTCTTCACAGGTGCCGACTAAACGAGCTTTCTCCTTGACAAGTCTTAGACGCCAATCAGTTAACCACTGGAAGGGAAACAAAAATACGAGGGAAGAACGTTTTTAGGAAAAGGAAAATAACTGTATGATTAGAAACGACGTGAGTGAGAAAAAAAGCACTAAATGTAATAATCAATAATAATTGAAGGTGTGGAATACACCGGGATATTATAAAGCCAGATCGTTCATTGTTATAATAACTATAGATTTTTTTGTCACAGTTATAAATGATACGGAGTAGAAGGCAAAAGAGATTGGTACACAATATTAACTTGATTTGATTATTCTTTTAGGTTTCGACTGGAACATAAGCTTCAATAGCAGGTCATTGAAGCATGACATGAGTACTGAAGATTCGAGTCCTTTTCAAATGTCTAGTGCGGCAAATTTCCACACTGATTTCAGGTTCAATGAAGGTCTGTTCTGATTTGCTGCTTTGGTTGTCCCGCTTTGACATCTTCATCTACACCACCTGTTGCTAACATCTACTGTTTAACTGTTTTTATGGACTTTAATCTCTTATTTTCATCCCCTTGTACCTAAAACTGATAATTCTTATGGACTAAAATAAGCACATGATTGAGTATTACTAAGATGTAAAAGAAACTATAGATTAGTGTGGAGTCGATGATGTGGAACTAATTGCAGATAGAGATTTCATCACTCAATTTGTTGATTTTACTAACTGTGTGTGTAAGTGGTAATTTTTTATTTATTGAAATCATCTTAGGAACAGTTTTGCACAAAACTGAGATAATATTGATATTTAATGTCAAACGAAAGCTTGCTAATGCCGTTTGGAAATCTTCTTGTTCACGCACGCAATATAAGCACCACAAGTAAAAGCAGTTGAAATAGAATATGAGCAAAGAGTGATATCTTCAAAATGCCACTACCAAACAAAGCCTTACACTTTCGGTTATTGTATGATTAAATAAAACATTAGTTGAACTTGAATAAACATCAGAGAGTGATATTTAAAAAAATCAACAGTATAGATATCTGAGGAACCACATTTTCGTTCACCTGAAACTACCGAAAAGAATATTATAGTCTTTCACAATTTAACTACTAATGAGTAGTTTAAAACGTACAACAGAATTTTACACCGCCGAGGTATATTTATATATTTTTGATTGGACACTAGTTAGTAACAAGTGTAACGTGTCTAGTACTCTATTTGGTGCAGACTGAATTCTATCAGTCAAGTTTGCAGTGTGGCCACCATGCCACTAGGTGGCTCACAATCACGGTGTACTATGAATTCACACGTCATTGAAATGCAACAGCCTCGCTTCTTAATTTCGAGGTTGTGAATTTGTTCCATGGTGAGGTGTGTACTGTTGAGGAGACCCAAACTACGACAAAACATCTGTGCAGTTTTCCTCGGTTTTCAAAAGTTCACTAGATGATATCAATCTGTGGTATAATTTCAAATTATGTTAGTAATGAACACTGAAGTCAAAATTTACCATATAAAGTACGTAATTGTAACTTGTATATGGTGTCTCAATATTTTCCAAATTAACTAATTTTACAAAATTGTGCACCAAAAATCACATAAGATAAACAAGAATGAAATAAATGTACAGAAAACTTTTGAAATCAGGATTGGGTTGTAATAATAGTAGTATTGATAATAATGTTAGTAATCCTAGACATATCAGTCAAATAATTAGGGCAAATTGATATAAATCTCTCCTACAATGTAAATTCTCTAAATAAATATATACACATCATGTTATTTAGAGTAATAATAAGTCAGACACACAGACACAAAATCAGTCGAGTTGTATCAAGATATGAAAAGTTAATCTGTCTACAGATTTACTTAAAATGTGAAAAACATTTTCTCATTTCAGAAACATAAACTATCGTATGTAAAAGATACTGTATAACACCGTAGAGCATCTCTTCGACCACCGACAAATCCGGTTCAACTAGAAAAACTTGGAAATTCATCAGCCATAGGTCTACACGCTATAGAATCACGCCACAAAATTGATTTTGACAATATTGAAATAATCCAGAAAAACTTCAGAAATCACAAAGAACGTCTAATATCAGAAACACTTCATATCAAGTGGAATCCAAATTGCCTAAATAGGAATGATGGACTAAAACAGAATTTGACCTGGTTATAACACCTCCCTCCCCCATGAAGTGACAAAATCAACACCAATATGATATGCAAGTTCACTATGTAAACACACACTGTCTTAGTAATTTTACACACTTATCAAATCCAACAATCCACACTTGATTTTGTTATCTTTACCAATTGACCAACTTGACAACTAAAAATGACCCCAGACAGACGAACAATGACCAAGTTAGTACACTTTTTTTGATACCATAGCAGATGTACTATTACCTTTGTTATTTGGTTTAGTGATCTTCATTGCTATTTTGACTTTCAATATGTCCCTTTAACTTGACCTAAGTTTATTTTCTCACCCCCTAACTCTTTGTTATATATATGCTGAGATTTTGTAAATTACGGTTTAATAACACTTTGATAAAGCTATTAGCATTAAATAGCGAAAAGTAATTAAAAACAATACCGTTTTCTTTTTCATTCACTGGGAAATACAGAAACCTTTATTATAATGAATATCATATACCCAATGCCCAAATTTTTTCAAACCGTTAAAGTGAACTTGGTTTGGGCATATATAACTTTGTAAAAAAATTTAAAGATATAATCACGAGCTCATATCAGTGAGAGAATCATTGAAAAACCAGGAGGGAGCACTGGATAGCTGTTTCGTCCCAGCATCAGGCACTACCTATTGGGGTTCCAACCCACGGTTTTGAGGTGGAATGGTAAATCATTCAGCTAGTGGGACACAATCTAATTTCAAATTTTGCCAACTCGAGGTACATAGCGCGACATTTGTGGATAACTCTACTCTCTTGCCAAGATGGGTGAACTGCACTGTTCACAACTCCTCAATAAAATTCCAGGTACCTTTCTGTATAAAGCCGGTCGCTAGTGAACGTCCGATCACTTATGAAGAGTTGCACGAATAAGGACCTTGGCGGCCTGTTTGAATTTTTGGGCCTGCTATCATAAAATCTACATATTGCATCCAACCTAACATTTACTCCATTTACTTATCACCCAAATATGAATTCCAAAAGGATTATTTACTCTCGCAACTTTATCATTCATTTACGACCCAATGACTTTCATATTCCCAAGAAATCAAGGAGGAAGCATAGTAGTGGCTGGCAAAAAGCTCTTAAACGTACACTAATACACTTAACCACGGTCCCTGTCACAATGAACACCAACTGCCGCTCTCTGCCTAACAAAATAATGTACCTACAATCCTTGATGTCCACTGACACTTATCACAATACTGCGATAATCACACTACAAGAAACATGGTTACACGAACTGTACGATGACAATCTCATCTCTCTAAAGGACTTCATCCTATTTAGACAAGACCGAAAATGTTGTAATAAGAAAAATGGAGGTGGAGTTGCAACTTTCATTAACTCAAAATGGTCTATTTCTAATAATGTTTGCTTCTCATTCTCAAATGACTTCATAGACTGCATCACCGTCAAATGTCGTCTCAAACATCTCCCCAAATATAAACACATCTTTATCACAAACATGTACATTTCTCCAAGTTGCTCACTATCTAATCTTTCAAATTTTGACGATGGATTCACCATGTTTTCTGCTGCCAACTTCGATAATTCTCTATCTGTTATTACTGGGGACTTCAACTCGTCAGATTGCTCCTTCCTTGAAGCACTTGGTCACTCTAACATTGTCAAATTTCCCACTCGACTAGACAAAACACTGGATTTAGTTTTTACAAATGACGAAGGAATCTATGAAGCACGTAAACGTGCACCGATCCTCAACTCTGATCACTCTATTATTCGTGTTCTACCAAAAATTTACAGCAAAACACATATTAAAGTCTTCTCGCATCTGTCTATGAAAGCACAACAAAGATGCTACTCATCCGAAAACTTACTCAATCTAAGGTGCATGTTAAAAGACACTAACTGGGATTTATTCCATGAAAGTTCATTAGATGACACAATCGTCAATATAACGGATTATCTCAAGTTTTGCCTTGATATATGCTGTCCCAAACAAACTCTATTCAAACGTCTCGACCGCTTCTCATCTCCTTATCTCAAACAACTTCGCAGGAAAAAAGAAACTTTATACAAATCCAAAGACAAGTTAGGACTCAAAAAGATTAATGCTCAAATCAAATCTGAGATCAAAAATCTTAATGCTATCTATAATGATACACTTTTATCATGTAAATCTCCAATCAGTATGTGGAAACTTTTTAATGAAATTACTGGTAATAGTAAGCGTTGTAATACTTTTCCCTCTTATGACGTTAATGCTCTTAATCAGTCTTTTATACGCTGTCCTTCTACCTTAACTACTTCTAATGTTACCTATCATGTAGCTGAAAACTTTCATGACTTTAATACTCTCGATGTTCTAAAATGTCTTAAAACACTCAAGCCCTCACGTAGCCTAGGTCCTGATGGTATACCTGCCTATGTTCTAAAACAATGTGCAGATGTGTTGTGTTCTCCACTAACCAACATCCTAAATGCCTCTTTCTCCAAAAATATCGTACCTGATGCATGGAAAGACATCAAAATTGTCCCTGTCCCCAAACCTGGTAACGGCAAGAACGTAAAGTTCAGACCCATTGCCATCACTTCCCCGTTCCTAAAGCTTATGGAAAAACTAATACTTCTTAAACTCGAACCCTCCCTTAAAAACTTCGAAGACCCAAAACAATTTGCCTATAGACAGGGTAGGAGTACATTAGACGCTGCAGCTGTCTTACACAACAACATCGTCTCATCATTAGATAAAAGTGCCAAATACGTCCGCTGCACGTTTCTTGACTTCACTTCGGCTTTCGACTCTGTACCTAGATGTCTCCTGCTAAATAATCTCTCTTTGACGAAAACTGAGTCCTGGGTCACCAACTGGTTGCATTCCTACTTCTCAAACAGAATGCAGT